CCGTAGTTGCAAAATATTCGATGAATTTACAAAGTGACCCCAGACCAATACTTCGTTTGATTCTATTTCCTTCTTTGTAGAGCTGTTAATTAATAATATCAGACATCAGTACCTTGAAACTCTAAACAATAAAGATAAGATGATAAGTCATGACTATCCATTGTTTTCTAGTTATACTTACTGGTGTTTAAAATCCGGGGGGGTGGGGGGGCAATATATGTACATTTATGTATGAGTTTGGTGGGGAGAGGAGAATGGACACACACATGCCTACTGAAGGCTATGAGAACCTTGGGACCAGGAACAATATGCTATTTTTTTTCAGTTGATAGCTAAATAACTTAGCCAAATGAATTAAATATGCACATTTATGCAACTATATGTGTTCTTAACAGAATATAAAAAGCTTTTTAATAGATTTTCTAATCCACAGTTTGCATTTCTTTGTTCTGTGTATTCCTAGTTATTAAGATATCACATGATCTTTCTTGGAAGATGCTTTATATTATTGTGACAATTTTCCCTCACTTTTAATATCACTATGTCTTAAATACCTTTCCTATCTTATCCCTTAAGCCCTACTTATACCTGAAGGATGGATTCCTCACAACATCCTTCTCAGCCACACAAGACAGACTCTCTCCCTCTAGTGTTTCTGAGAGTATTCTACTTCAATGCCTGGCATTTTATTTTTCCATTATTAGTTTATACATGTTTTTCATTAGAAGGGGTAAACTGTGATTTACTTGAATATTTTCTTTTATTGCCAAGGATATATTTCAAATCAATGATAAATAAATGAATTATATTCTCTATGACTTGGACTTCCCCTGAGGCAATATTAAACAATAGGGACAGTTTACAACCCACCTCTGTCCCTAACTGACTGCATGATTTTTAAGTTATCCATGAACTTAGTGTCCCTGTTTACCTGATTGTACGAAGATCATGACACTGAAAATTTATATAATCATTATTATGAAAACATGTCAGAATTATAAATATTATTGCAAAATATATAGATATATCTTTGGCAGATTGAAAGTGCTGGTAAATATTAATGGAAGTCATGCTTAGTTTTTCACATCAAATGATAGTGTGAGTGAAGAGAAAGACTTCAGGTGTACCACATTCTTTGAAGTATATCCTAGCAATGTAACCTGATCATGTCTATGTAAGGAGGTTCCTCTAAAATTATTAAAACATATTTGTTACATAATTAAGAGTTGATCATAATTTTCAGATGCTGTAAGTTTTCCTGCTCATCACAACTTATTTGTGGCCCAGAATCAATACCCATTGTATTATTGTGGTGTTCGGTAGATCCATGAAAATTGTGTGTATACAGCCCCAGCTGAGATTAAACAAGGAGATTCCTGCTTTCTTGTTTCAGCTTTCATATTGGGAACAAATGCCCTTTTTGGTCTACCCTGTGTTCTGTGCATTTGTGTTAACTCTTTGCAATGACTTACAGGGAGAGTGCTGTCCTGAACTGTAGTTACTATTCCTTCATGCAACATAGGTGACAATGCACGTTGTGGAGAAAATGAACTAAATAACTGATCAACTATTAAAATGCAAGGTTAACAGATCAATAATAATATTAAGTTATCTTTAACAGAAAGCTACAAAAAGTAAAGTTATGCATAGAGAAATTGGCAGAAATGGAGTGTTGCAATTTGGGACTAGAAGGAATCTATTTTTTTTTTTTTTTTTAATACCGGGGATCAAACTCAAAACCTTGCGCTTGCCAGGCAGGTGCTTACACTGTTGAGCTTTGTTTTCTTTATTTTTCAGTATTTACAGAGTCAGCATTGACAGTTCCTCTGTAGAATGTAACTTTGTAAATAAGGAGAATCTATTGAAGACAGACACTTTCAGATTGTCAAAATAGTACATAACGTAACTTTAGATGATATTTATGTCCTTTCACAGAAGAATTTAATTATTTATATATCGTTTTTTTTTTTTTTTTAATGAATCTGAAAAATAAGAGTCTTGCACTCTTTTTCCTGTGGAGTTCTGTTCTGACTTGGCCATTCTGACTGATTGTCATAAGGTTGAAGAGACCCTGGGTTTGTGTATTTACAAGCTATTCCTTGACTTTAGGTCTAGCTTATTTCTTTTTTTTTTTTTTTTTTTTTCTTTTTGAAACAGAGTTTCACCAGGCATTTCAAGCTGGCCTTGAGCTTACTTTGTATCCCAGGATGGTCTCGAATTTGCTGAGATCTTCCTGCCTCAGCCTCCTGAGTGCTGGGATTATGGGCATGCTCCACCACGCCCTGCTATCTATCTGGCTTATTTCTAACAGTCACATATTTCTAGCATCTCAAAACAATAAATTGTGTACTTACTGTAAAAATTACCTCTCTAAAATATACTTCTCAAGTATTCTGTGTGCAATATTATTATTTTAGTAAAGCTACATAACACTAACAGACATTTAACAAAAACCTGTCCTCCCAGTCTCTGTGCGAATTCCCTAGGCAACCAAGTTCATTATTTTTAATTCTTATTTATTTTTTGTCATTCACCTTTATATTTCTCAAAAATACACTTGCCAGCATGTCTTAATTCACTATATTACATCTCGTACTTATACACTTGTATCCTCATTTATCTGCCCCAATCATTTTTCTTCTTGTTTCTTCCTACTTTCGCTTTTTCTTCTTTGGTTGATGTATAATTAAAATACTGTGAAATTTACAAATCTTAAATAGCCAGTCCCATCACTGTTAGTTGGCTTTAAGTATAGCAAACAAAGCAGACTTGATGGCTTAAACAATAGAAATTTGTTTTCTTGCAGTTGTGGAAACTGTGAATCTAAAATCAAGGTATTCACAGAATTGCTCTGAGGCTGCCTTCTGGGCTTATTGAGGGCTGTCATTTTCTTCACATAGTTTCCCTTAATCCTCTCTTCTTTAAAATCACCCTCATACTGAATTATAGTTCACCCTAATAATATAACTTAACCTCAATTGCTTCTGTAAAGGACCTGTCTCCAAGAATAGGCAGATGATGAGGTATTGGGAGATAGGACCACAAAATATGAATGTTTGCAGGCACAAATAAGTCCCAAATAGTGAATTTTTACATTTGTCTTCTTCCATGAAACACATAAAAGACTTCCATCATCCACGAAGGTATCTTTGGGACCATTTCTAGTCAGTCCCAAAGTGCTACTGCCATAGGCAATAATTCACTTGTTTTCTATTACTATTGATAATTTGTCTGTTCTTGAACTTTATAAAAATAGAATTATATTGTATGTTGCTCCCTTGAGTCTGATGTCTCCACATATCAAAATTTATATCACACTTCACGTTTCTTCAATGCTTTCCTGATAGTTTTATACTTGTATTTCAGTTGATCTCTATCTTACATTTTAAATTTTTTTCTTAGTTAACATTCTCATTTACCTGGAGTATTTACTCCATTAGTCTCCTGATAAAAGACAAATTTCTCTCAAATGATGTATATCTGAAACATGAGTGCATGTAGTTCTCTAAGAATATATAGTTACACTGTATTGTGTACTATCTTTTACTTGATTACATAGAAACTACTAGAGTCTAAATAGAATCTCTAGTGTTTCACAGTGATGTACCTTGATGGAATTCCAGTATCCTTGTTAGACCAGGATCCCAAATTCTTCTAATTTGGGGAGGATTTTATTGGGATGATGCTGAACCTTTTTTCTTACCATTTTCTATCTTCTATTTCTGACTTTTATTTCATCTTATCAGTTAAGTACAGGGAATTGTGAACTAACCATCTAATTTCTTCTCTCTCCAATTTCCTAAGATCATATAATTTTTTTCTTCACAGAATTTCAGAAGATATCTTATAATGCATCTTCTGTTGTACTTATTAAATGTCTAATTTATATAATCATATTTTATTTTAATATTTCAATATGCCTATATCTTGTTTCTAGTGATTGATTAAATATCTTCATTTAGATTATCAATGTACAATGCCTTTTTTTGCACCAATTAGATGTATTATTCTATTTACTTCAGGTCCTGTTATTTTTGTGGATTTTTCTTCTATATTTTATGCAAAAAGTTTTGAATCTTATAGTCTTAAATCATCAGTTTATATGAACAAAATGCTATAAAGTTGAATTAAGTGTGAAAATTCAAATGCCTGTGTGTGACATGTTAAGGATAGCCTCTCTGTTGGCGTATTTATTGGTCAAGGAGCCAGCTCTCCTTCCTTAAGGCAGAGTTGTCAGTTTCTACTGAGACCGATTTCTTGATATTTACTCTGGGGAGCATATGCTTGGTTGCTGTTTCTGTAGGTGTCAGAAAAAAGAAGAAGACACGAATGTCTCACATCTTTGACCTAATAATGCTTGTCCATGTCCCTCATCTCTCTTGTGCCTGGTAACTGATTCTATGGCCTCTATGTTCAGTGTCTCCAGAGGATAAAGCTACCAGTTGTGCCAATGTTAGGGAGGGTTAGCAAGCTAGTGCCCTATATAGGTAGTGATCTGGAGTTTAACTGATCTTAATTTATCCCTCTTTCCACACCATAACTCATCATGTAAGTTATTTAAGAAACAGCAATTCTCAGATTTTCCTGAAATTTTCATGTAACTTACCTTGCGTTCATTAATTGCTCTTCAGCAAATGTACACATTTCAGCTTTCCCTTTACCCCAGCCTCTACACACCCCTCTAAACTCCACTTTTTCACCTTTCACATCCATTGTAGTCTAACTCTTTGGTTTATACCATGAAGGACATGTTCCTGTCATTGAGCAGGACTTGCGAAGAAAAAACTATGCTTTCTACAATTAAATGACCTGTATCTTTTGGTTAAAATAATCAAATATGAATGTGGTCTTACTGTAGAAACAGGTTTAAATCAGGTCAGTGTGGGAATCCCTAACATTTTTTGCCTCCTTATTTAATTTAGATGTGTTTGAATCACATCTTAGACTGTGTCCTGTTATCTGTTTCATTAATGCTTTATTTTACATTTATTATTTTACAGAGTATCAAAGTAAGCTGGCTTCCTCCTCCATCAGGAATGCAAAATGGATTTATTACTGGCTATAAAATTCGACACAGAAAGACAACCCGCAGGGGTGAAATGGAAACGCTGGAGCCAAACAACCTCTGGTACCTGTTCACAGGTCAGTGTTCACACCGTGTGGCCTGGCGAGGTCGGGATGCATTAAACACTCTTCCTTCTAAGGAACATTGATGGTTTTTCCTGGCAGATGACATTTATTGGACCGAACAAGAATAACCTTTATATTTTTAAACTTTAAAACTTTCACTATGTATTTTGCTTTTGGATCATCACCTTAAATATATCACAAAAGTTTTAGCCTATTACTTTCTCGGCCTTGATAATTCCACACTGCCAGTTATCAAATGACTCTTAAAAGCTGCCTAGTAAAGTGCCAGATTTTAAGCAACTTAGCCCTGTTCCCCAATCTGCAGGATGAGAAAAGGGTACAAAATGAGAAAAAGGAGAGACATGAAATAAAGTTTATTCTACTTTCATAAATACATAAGTAAATCCAGTCTTATACCAGTATTGAGAGAACTACGAAGAAAATACATTCTCATTTTGTGAAATGAAATGTCTTGAGCAACTATTTCTAAAATAACAATATGTAATTTATCTATTGATTTTGTAATATTATTTTTTTTGAAATTCTGTATTATTTCTACCATTTTTTTCTGTTTTGCCTTTTTCTCTAAATAGTTTTTCTTTTTTTTTTTTTTTTAATGCTTTGTCAGCCGGGCGTTGTGGCTCACGCCTGTAATCCCAGCACTTGGGAGGCTGAAGCAGGAGGATCCTTGTGAGTTCAAGACCAGCCTGGGCTACAAAGGGAGCTCAAGGCCAGCCTGAACTGCATAGCGATACCCTGTTTCAAAAAGACAAAAAAAATTAAAATTTAAATTTAAAAAATGAATTGTCAGATATTTCCTTTAACTACTGGAGTCCTTCACCCATGTCAGTCTAGGTTCCTAGAAAACTGATTGACACAAGAGTATCAAGGTAATGCCATTGGATGTGTGAGCCCAGAAATGCAAGTGGTAATGAACAACAGAAGAGAGAGAGGAAAGAAAAGAAATCCAATAGTGGGGATAAATTGATAAGCTGGAGTTGTTCCAATCTTGCAACAAATACATATAGCTTGCAGGGTCTAGTGCAGTGTCTCTTGAGAAGTTACACAAGCTGCAGTGTTTTTAATCCATGGAACAATGGGAAATGTGGGCAAGTTTACCTGGCTGTTGTTCATTAAACTTCACCAACATGGTGGACTGTTGTGAACCTCCAGACAAACACTGGAAAGCCAGAGGTGCTTGAACAAGAAAGTTTTCAGTGTCTTCCAGAACTGTGTGTGATTGTGGTTTGGTGGAGGACGGTGGTAGCAAACCTATGGCATGCATGTTATTATGATTTTTCCCCCTTTAAGATAAAAGATGTTGGTGTATGCATTGTTTTTTTTTATAACTAAAATATTAGTGTTCAAATTTAATTGCAGTACTGGCACTGTGTGATAATTAAGTGGGTTTTGGTTTGCAATTTTGATATCTAAAATGTTTGGCATCACAAGTCCAGGATAAGGCTCAGAGTTTAAAAGCTCTTGGAATAAAGGACAAAACTCTCACCAGGGAGCTCTTCATGACAGCCTTTGGGGAGGTAAAGTTGAGACAATTGAGAGGTCACAAATGGGTCCAAAATAAAACACAAAATATAAAGTATATAATTTACATCTGATGAATAAACTATTAATGCAATAAGAAGAAAAAATCTTTTATTTTCCTCCTTACCAGATACTCAGTAAATTTCCATTTCAAATCCGTACACACAAGTATTTTAAGCTGTTTATTTAGCCTGTAACCTGAGACTTCAGAGTAGCCTGTTTTTCCGCTCAGAGATTTTTTCTTCGTTTTTTCTCTGTAAATTTTTAACCTAATATAGTCCTTCCAAAGTACATTGTCAAACTCATGTTATCTGCTATAAATGTTAACAAAATCTCCTAGGCAGGTATTATTGGTTCTAGGACAGAGCTATAACATTTTAGTATATTATGTAAAAAGCTAAGTGTCTATGTTTTGATTTTTATGTTTTACCTAGTGAGCTTGTGGGAAGAAGGTAAAGATAACTGAAGTTAAATTGATGTATATATGCACATTAGGATATGTAGTGCATACATACACTTTATGTTGAAAAATATTACAAAAATTGAAAAATCTCATTATAAATATATCAGTATAATTCTTGAGAGTCAATATTTGACTAGAAAAAAATTTAGGATTTTTTAAATCTAAGCATTTCTTTCTATGGATATGAAGATATCTTCTATAGATATAAAGATAAGATATAGATATAAATACAAGAATATCATTGCTCTCAAGGTTTTGTTATCATTGCTTTTCATCTAAAATGAAAGAATTAAAATTATAAAATAAGTTTATTTTAAAGAATAATAAAGGATGAGCACTAAAACAGAAAAACCAAGAATTGGATATTGGATTCCCTGAACTATAGATGACCAATCAATATTATAAAATGTTCAATCTCATTGACAAATAAAATAAAGTGAAAATGCATTAACATTTTCCTTTGATTAAGGTAATAAAGATAAAAGTGAATAATGATGCCCTATTCAGGAAAGTATAAGAGAAACATGAATTATCATATATTATGGGAACAGAAAATTTCTAGAATATTTCTGGAAAGTAATATGCATGTATATGTTACATGTGTATAAAGATAAATATGTATATTTCTTTATATATTTTGTCATGACAATAAATTGGATGAATACGTTTTCCAGTTTTTATAAATTTATCTTAAAGAGCTATTATATGTTTGGCAAATATTCTATCTAGAAACATAGATATAACAGCATTCTTTTCTTAGTAAATAATTTTTAAAAGCCTAAATATCCAACTATAAGCACTCATCTAAAATACTCAGACATAATTATATCATGGAGCATTATACATCTGTTAAAATGTTGCATAAAGTTTTAAATCACAAATCAAATAGTGTACAGAATTAAAGGTGAATGACTCGGTTTTATATTGTATATGAGTGCATGTCTTAGATATTTTTGTCATAGCTGAGACAGAGTTAAAGGAGAAAAAGTTTATTCAGCTCACAGCTTGTGGAGGTTTCGTAACATAATCAGCTGGCTCCAAGGCAGGGTGACATGGAGGAAGGGACAACAGTTCATGGCGATAGAAGATACCAAATACAACAAGAGGCAGGAAGAATAAGCCTTTTTTGCCCCCTCTTTTTTTTCTTATCTATATTGCAGGAATTTTGACTGTCTCAAGCCAATCAGTAGACTGATCAAACAACTACTCACCCTTATTCCCAGCATCCATTTTCCCAGCATTGATCCATAAGTCAGTCACAAAATCTAGATTCAGCCACCTCAAAAAGGCCCATCTAAAAGTGCACGAGGCTTTGAGGGAGCGTCTAGACACAAATCATAAAAGTGTGTGTTCATATTTATAAATGAAAATTATACATTTGTAAGAAAATATTTTGAACAATAAATGTTAAATTATTAATAGCCAAAGTTGTTTACTTTTCTATTTTTTTTCTTTAAAGAGAATAAAACAAAACAGAACATAACAAAGCAGAGCAGAGTAAAATAATACAAATAACCCAGGATTTCAGAAAAAGGAGGAAATCAACAGTGACTACCATAATATCTCTAGTTTTCTTTGAAATAGATATCCATACCTTCACACACAATATGTTAATACAAATCAAAATAGTATAAAAGCAATCAAAACCAAAGAATGAGAGATTTAAGGGCTTTCAAGAGCAGACACTAGGAAATCAATAATGGCTACCATAATGTTTCTTGATTTCTTCCAAATAGCTGTGCATATCTTCATACATATTAAAATCAAATAATTGAAACAATCTGAAACCAATAAAAACCAAGAGTAAAATCATTATTGGATTTTGAATCCAAATGATAGGAAATCATCACGAGGAATGAATAAAGCATGGTGTCTCTTTTCCTTCAGTGTAGTTGTTCATACAATCGCACATAATAAGATCAATTATTGTAAACCCTTTAGGTGAAGTTCTAGGCATATATAAGCCTATATATGTTCATCTATCCTTTCAGTATTAGAGGTAAAAACAAAACAACAAATAAATAACTATAAGAGCCCAAAAGAATAACAATGTAGACTTTCAGAGCAAATGAGCATAAATTTTGTTGTTTTGCATAGTTATCTGCATATTACCAGATATAGTCATGCAAAACTGATCTAATCCTATGGATGTTAACTGTTCTGTTCCAAAAACTAATAGAATTAGTGGCATAATCATCTTAGTAATCTTAAGTGTATATATACAGATTTATATATTAATTCTTTTCTCTTTTTCCTCTCTATTTTTTCCTCTTTGAGCAGTTTCTTAACCTTTCACAACATTTATTGAAGATTTTGTATCGTGTTTACTCTTTTACATTTTTACCCTACGGAAATAATATGATATTTACACATGTGAATTTGATTTATTTCATTTGTGAATATTGTCTAAAGACACTTCCATTTATCTATAAAAGTCTCGATATGGTCTTTCTTTATACTTGAGTAATATTCCATTGTATAAAAATACCACATCTTTTTCATCCATTCCTCAGTTCATGGGCATTTGAGTTGTTTCCAAGATTTAGCTCTTACAAATTGTACTGCTGTAAACATGGGTGCACATATGTCACTGTAGTATGAAGTTTTTACTTCTTCTGGGAATATGCCCAGAAGTGGAATAGGTGGGTCAAATGAGACTTCCAATCCCAGCTTTTTGAGGAACCTCCATTCTGATTTCCACAGTGGTTGCACCATTCTACATTCCCACCAACAGTGTAGAATAGTTTCTTTTTCCCCACTGACTCTCCAGCATTTGTTAAAAGTTGTTTACTTTTTTAAACAATGAAACATGTAACTTCATAAACAAATGAAATAAAAATCAAGACTCTAATACCAAATTGCAACACGTGGTTAAAACTGATGATTTCTTCCTTTCTAAAGGTAACTCTGTATCAGTGAAACAAGAGAGAGATTCTGAAATAAATGAATGATAAGCTCTAGCTAAAGAATTTTCTGGTATGAATTGTGTAATGTTTATTAGTTATTT